TGTCAGATATAGGTTCAGAACCTGCTGAAAGAAAGTACATTCACATGTAAATTCTTTCGGAACCAAACTTAGAGAAAGATTATACCTAAAGATAACCTCGGTGCATGATATGAATATGATTAGTCCAGATTATGTCCGTTTCAATATATTTTTTCTTCTTCAATCATCCATGTACTCCTGCCTTACACGAAACATACCACTCAGATCCTGCGACCCCGAAATACTCCTTTTGCTATAGATTAAGAATAAAAGGACTGGCTCTGTTTTAGCGTTGGGGTGTGTTATTTTCTAAGCTGATTGCGTGGGCGCGTCACGGAAACGGTCCAATTAGGCAGGGGACTAAAATACGAGGCGACAGATGCCCGTATATTGGCGTTAGCATTTACGAGTAAATGATGTACTAAAACTAAAATAAAATACCCCGAGAGGGGGTAGATAGAGTCAATACAATCTTACAATCTTTACCTGGCATTCTATAGGTAAGCGTTTCGTATATGAGACTCAGAGTTGCAATATCTTTTCATAGAAGTAATACTTGAAGCTCTTACTTTGACGGAACGTGTGGAAAAAGTTATTAAAACTGCTCAAAAAATATAAGTGTAATTAAGCGAGCCAAAAGTTTTGTTCCAACAAGATCTCTGGAACTGCACAATCGTTCTTCCCCATTTCGATTATTGTTCCTCGGTTTGGTCAGAGCAATTTCAAAGACAAACGATTAAATTACCAGAGGTTCAAGAACGAGCTGCACGTGTAGTGAAGGGAGAAGGATTTGAAGTATCTTCAAATGATATGTGCCCATTTAGACACGTTTCCAGTTTGGACGTGCAGTGATGATGTATAAATCAATGCATGACATCGCACCAACATACTTAAACAAAGATTTAAGTCATGTCAGTTCACTACATGATCACACCACATTAAGACATGCTGTAAGGTATACATTGCGCGTACCTTAATTTAGGACGGACACACATACAAATAGTCCTCTAATTTCTGGAATTAGAGTATGGAACCAACTTGAAAGTTCTATCAAGACGTCATCTACTTTAAACAGTTTTAACCCTAATAAGGCCGGGGGGGGGGGCATTATGCCCCCTCCCCCTCCGCGATTTTTCTAATTGTTCGGGAACGCATACTGATGGCGCCCAGCTGCTCGCTGACTTTTTTCTTTCGAGTCTTGTGCATCTTTTAAAACAATCTTTTTGAAAATCGGGGGTACAGATACAAAGTCACGTGACCTTTTGTCTTTGCATGTCAGCCCCCAAATCGCTCATTTTCATGTTTTGTGTACAAAACATATCGAAATGTCATTTTTCCTAAGAAGAGATAAAACATTGGTTATTGGGTTTTGTTGAAAAGTTTAGGTGTTTGTTTTGGGAGTCAAAATAGTTGAATTGTAGTTAGAAGAAAAAAATATATAATACCAACATTGAAAAAAAACAATGAAATACATACGAAATTATCAAAACAAGAGATAACATAAGAAATAACCTAGCTCGTCCAAATTTGTTGTCGTATTATTGTTACAAATGGTCTAACAAATACACGTAGAACCCCTTACATCAAGAGCAAAAAATGTATTGGTGATTGGTACAATTTAAATTTTCTGTATATACATTTCAAATAAAGTACAAGTTGTTTTCTCAATGATACATAATAAATAACATAAAGATAAGTGGTCAATATAGAGTACTGATTTAACTGAGAGAAATATGATGGGACCTACATGAAAGCAGGCTTGAGAAGCTGTAGGCCCCAGTGAAATAGTTTGTGGTAATGAATGGAGAATATGATACCAAGCTTAATATATTTCTGATTGCATTTTCATTATTTTTGCTGCTTTCAAAGGAGTAAGGCACTCTAATATTAAATTTCAGAAATATTAAAACGCCAACACATTGCTATATATTCTATTACATAGAACAATACTTGGTGTATGTTATTGTGATGTGTTCATGCATGTGATTGTGCATGTTTACGTGCGAGGATGATTGAGTACGTTGCAGATGGTAGTGGGTTTGTTTGGGGTTGGGTAGTAAAGGATGGGGTTAACATTCGTTCTTATATTTTAACTGATATATTTCAATTTTGTTTTTCGTACATGTATTAATTAATTTATTGAATTGTTATTATGATAAAAAGGAATTGTATATCGAGAAAATATTTGTATTATTTGTATTATTTTATATTGAATGAAATCAAAATAAAAATATTATGGAAAAAAACAAAAAGTGTGTGTGTGTGTGTGTGTGTGTGTGTGTGTTTAATTGTGTTTTGACAGACGCGTACCATTCAGAAAGAATTTACGTGTTGGACCTGACATCGAAAATCACCATCCAAAAGACGTGACTCAGTTTCGCAAACCTGGTTCCCAATCATAGTAAGTTTGTAGACGAAGACAGAGAGCACAGACTTTCCCGCTAGACCAAACTCACGTCACTAATACTGATGACAATTAACAATAGGCATACACCTTTGACAGGTTTTCACCTCAAATTTAATTTATACAAAACTTAATGAAAGTACTATACTTCGATGTATTTCAGGAGTAGGTCTATTCAAAACAATAATTCATTCATATCGTATCTTGAGAAATCCAAATACATGTAGTACTGACAGGAATTCTTACAATACTTATAATGCATCTCAGTATCTTTAGAAGACAAACAAAATCTGTAATAATTTTAGTCTACTTATAGACACTGTGCAAGATATCTTTTAGAAATCTGCAATCATTTTCCACATTAGACATATATATAAATATATTTCAGTATGTTATGTTTAAAGAAGAACTTACTATGTTTTCCATCGCAGGTACGATATTTTGTTGTGATATCCTGACGATTAACAATTAATGACATGTTTTGTGATTCTGTTTTATCAAACCTATAGACGATGTGCAAGATATCAAGCATATTTGGTGTTTAAATGAAAGTAAAATTCACTTGGTAAAGTGAATGACTCAATGAGGATGACTTTGAAAGAGCTCTAGAAATAAAATCCCTGTGTGCAGTATAAACCTTGCTAATAATATACAATTTCATGAACATTTTCTTTGTATCACTTAAAGGCTCGATCAGAAATAACGCAGCAAAACTATGTGTCTTAAATATTTGTTTTATGGTGACAGAAGGTGTAGTACGCTTCCCATTTCTGTATTTGTAACACAGAGATCAATGAATACGCGCAAGCCCTTTGTTGCGCAAAGTTGCTATTTTTAATAGTTTATACGTTTACAAAACGCGGCTGCTTTATTTTCCCGGCGGTTTACCGCGCTATATACCCGAACAAGCCTTTACCTGTTGAATATAAACTGGAATGCACATGTATCAATATTAAATATATTGACATGCATGTATATAGATAGTACTCATGACGGACATAAGAGTACACGTTGAACAGGATGAGATAATTTCAGCATACACACTTTTGAAAGACTGGAATATATCAATGGAAATGGAAGGTCGTTATTTACAAAATTAAAGACTCTCGGCACAATAATCTTTGAAGGTATCCTCACAAGTATCAATAACACATATTAGTGCATTCTCTGGCTCATAATGAACACTAAGAAGATATTTAAATGTATAAATTTCATTGTTTGACATGATATATGGATAATAGGACATTGTAATTTACACATTTTAAATACACAGATCACAATCTACAAAATAGAAAATACTTTAGGATATTTATCCTTGTAATAACATGTAAAAACAAGAAATATCTTCGTGGAATATGTCAAAATGTATTTATTCCACTGTTTGATATGATATATAGATAATAGGACATTGTAGTTTACACGCTTGAAATACACAGATCATAATATACAAAATAGAAAATACTTTGGGATATTTTCTCCTTGTAATTACATGTAAAAACAAGAAATTTCTTCATGGAATATGTCAAAATGTATGTATTTCGCTGTTCGACATGATATATGGAGAATAGGACATTGTAATTTACACGTTTGAAATACACAGATCATAGTCTACAAAATAGAAAATACTTTAGAATATTTCAAAATAAAACAAAGCTTGTTCTTGCATTCGTTTATATCTGAAAACTTAACATTATATCTGCACACATTACATTTTGATGATTTATGTGGTAGCAATTTCAGTACCTTATTGTTAATGCCTGATTGTAATCAAGCTATGTACAGAAGAGGGCAATCAACATTTTTTACCCTTCTATAGGCAATATTTTAAACTATAAATGATAATGAAAGAGATTTTTTTGTAGATAATATCCTCACTGCAGAGTATTTTGTAACAATTCGCAATCATATTCTACATTTGACATACATATATATATTTCAGTATTTTATGTTTAAAGAAGAAGTACTACTATTAAAGGGTCTTTGTTTTTCATCTCGGGTTAGATAATTTGTCGTAATATTTTTTCGTAATAAGAGACGATTACATTAATGACATATTGGGATAATGTTTTATTAAACAAAACAAAAAAATCCAAAATGGAGGGACTTATAATGATCAGTCACTTTTCCTCAAGGTACAGTAAATGAACATCACAGAATACTTGGTGAATTATTTTTGTAACAGTACTTTTCCTTTAATACTACACCAATGGTGAGAGTATCATGTGAATTAACATCGTAAATATAACACAAAATTAGTCCTAATCCTCTGGATAACGCATTGAATTTCATTTCTTTCATAGTTTCATTTGAATTTTTTGTATTTTGCTTTAAAAAATCCAATATAATCTACTTTTATCGCAATATGGTTCATACATTGTAATATAAACTTGAATTTCTTTCAAATCCTTATGGATTGGATTATAGGAATTAGTATAAATGTATCAGATTAGCGAGCATGTAAATATACATGTATATGCAATTAATTTCATTTAATTTCACTTTGTCTTTATTTTACAAACCATGATAAAAAAAATTGTATACAATATAACATATATAAATCTGATGGTATAAAAATAAATACAAAGAAATATTGATAAATCAAATATTCAGTGGTAGGTATTGTGATCTACAATAAAAAAAAACGGTTTGCGAGGCATACTGGAAAAAGGCCTACAGGCCATACTTCAGAGGCGATACAAAAGGGTAAGCTAGGATCTTCAATTTTAAAACTTGCAGCATGATACTTTTGAAGCCAATGCAATCACAATCTTTTCCAATAAATAATTTACTACAAATTTCAAAAAGTCTATGCCAACAAAATATCATAAAATAGCAATAGGAATAGCAAACATTTGAATTCATGTAAACAAAAAAAATACACAGGCTCGAAAGAATATGATGAACAGGCAGTAAGCTCATATTAGATATACATGTAAGTACACACAAAATGCACTTTAAACAATGGCAAGTAAATGGTAGATTGATGCGCTATCCTAGAAGAGTTACTGCATGTATGTACATCAAGGCAGGAATTTACATATAAATATGTACAATGAGCCTGTTTTTGTCTGAAAATACTTTTTACATGCACAACACCAGCATGTATCTTTGTATACTAGTGCTCACAGAAAACTCATCATAATAACAAAAGATAGTTGATAAATTGTCTAACTACAAATTTCGACAGGTGAATTTGAAATAAATATCATTGTACAATCATCAAATATGATTACAAAATTGTCTGTCATTGCAGGATACTTTCAATACTAAATTAAAGTAAATGAAAGTGAGCCTCAATGGACTTACTTCATAATTGCTCAGTTAAGATGACATGCATGATATGAATAGTGACCTGAAGTGGGACTACCAAGCAATTACACATGCTTGTAATTGATACAAAATAGTTATGATTATGTACCTGAGGCCGATATATAAAAGATAGTAGTGATATTGGTTGGTTCTACTTTCGGGGAATATGAATATTGAAAATATTGCCATCAAGAGAATCACACTTCCCTTATCTTACGACTTGGGGCAATCTGATTCAGTTGCAGGCAATGTATTCTGATGTCCCCCTCAAGGCCATACAAAAATGGGGAACTTTAATTAAGCTACGCAACCATTACACTCTCATCTCTCTCTCTCTCTCTCTCTATGTATACAATTATATAAATATATCATTGGAACAATGTATTCCTCGATAGAGAAGCATATATAAAAACTGAGTATTATTATTACAGCTCGCATCTAATGAAATACCTCATAGCTCATCAATAAGACGAATTTGACCAGCCTTTCTTAAAACACCCTTGAGGGCTTCACACTCTTTCGCCTCAGTTTGCTTCTTTCTCCACTTTCGGAGCATTGATAGTGTACCCATGTATGATACATCTGCATTCTTCATGTTTGTGTCGAAATAACGCTGGATATCATCTGGCCCAAAGCCAAGAGCCTTCCCGAGATTATCTATCTCTTCACGCTTGGCAACTTTTCGAGCAACAGTGGTCAGCTTTTCGTCAAAGTCTTCCTGTCCACCTGAAATGTTCCTTAAATAAATGTATATTTTTTAAATTATGTTGCTATATTTATGATAACATGTACTGACAACGGGGGGGGGGGATGTTAAGTGCTATGCATTTGATTTTGATATGATATCACATGCATCATGAGGAACAGTGATATTACATTCTTTATTTTGTGAGTGAGCCTCAAACTAGTTCCAGTTCACAGCGTACTAACAACATTCAATTATAAACATATATATTGGACTTTAATTATAAGATATTTGAGCCCAGTTTCCCCTTCTCATCATTTACTGAAGCTTTGTTTTCAATTGTAAACCTACATTGCAACTAAGCAACATATACTTTAAGGAAATAATGTCCAGTCTAAATCATGCAGTTCCTGCAGCAATTTGATTATCTTTTACCTTGCAATCATTTTATATTCAATAAAGTTGTGTTTTTTTTTCGGGGGGGGGGGGGGGGGTTGGTTTGGGGAAAAAGTGCCCCCTTGCCCCTCCCTTCTCCAATTGTTTTTAGTGATTTCAGGTTTATACCTGCACATGCTCTGATCTCAGTCGGAATCTACTAACCATGCTGACAGTATTAAAGGTGTAAGAAATTATCATAACTTACTCCAGAGTTTCACCTGTACTTCCATGTGATGTTCGATGTGTCTGTGAACTGGATGCACCTTGCATTTGTTCTGCAATTTCGAGAACCAGGAAAGTGTATTACTCATTAACCTATAATTCTGAGTGCTGAATAAAGTAAACTGAATATTCATCTACAATTTAAGTTCATTCATTTCTTGCACAAATGTGAAAACTTCATCTAAAAACAAAGCTACAAAATAAAAAGCAAGCAAGACTTTGGAGTCTTGGTTGCAGACCATAACCTTTTTAAAAGTTAAAGATAAACTTGAGTTCTGGTAAAAAAGAAAATGAATTCTCACAGAATCAAACGAAACTTACACTGAATGTTCAAAATTACAAATAAATGTCATGTGCCAAACAATTTTGGAAGAAAATGTTTATTGGCTGAGTAATGAGCATAGAAAGATAAGAAAATCAGGTAGTACTAGCCCCGACACCATTTTGTGTAGTCCCATATACATCTTTCTGTGTACAGTGTTTGATACTTTACCAAGACTGGGCCAAATTTAGTATGATTTTGATGACTCCAGAACCTTACAGTGCACACCAATACTTACTTGCTACATGGTCAACTTTTTCTGATCCATTCCACACCTTTTCTTTCAAAATGCAATCGCATTACCAGAACTCACCTTTATCTTTAAGGATCATTCATTAGATGGAGGAAATTACAAAATTACACCAACCAGAATCTGACATCTCCTTACTTCAGCCACAAACAGAGACATACATGTGGGAAAGCATTTATGGTATAATTTCACTTTGATTGACCCTCTAACAGCAGTAATGCACATCCCTTAATAACATAATGTTAATGCAGTGGTAATGACAATAAAATGAAATTATCATCTGAATTCAAAACTTTGTAGGATATTTTATTAATGTACAGCTCGTACTGGGACAAGAATATGATATTGTGTCTATATACAATATACGCAAACATGTTCCTGATTTGTGATGGTCAGAACAACAAATTTGTCACATTAATTGATTTTTTAGACGAAGCCGAGTTCTGATCATGCAATACGTTTGTGAAATTATCTATCTGGAATTAAAGGTTGATTGTGTAGTACATAGGAATTATTCGGTTTTTAATCATCAGTTTGATATTTACTGGATCCAACTTGATGAAAAGCACATAGGCTGCACACAGAAATGAGTGAACGGGACTACACAAACACATTGAAGGACTGTTAGGTCCAAACAGCTAGGCCAGCTTTTCTTGTCATATTTTGAAAATGAGGGCATTTGAATAGCAATCTTTTTTTTAAGGGGACATTTCTATTCTGAATTTCTTCCAACTAATATAAACAAATAATAAATCTCACATATTGATTTTACACCTTTACCAAAAATGAACCTTCTCTTTAAACCAAAATACCTGGATCTTGTGGAGAAGTTCTCTTTCTTCTGTTAGGAGTTGAGAAATCCAAAGGAAATAAGAGTTCATCCTCTAGTCTCTCACTTTGTCCTATTCTCAGTGACACTGCAACAATGTCTGGCTGGTCGGTGAAGTCCAATTCAAAGGGCTTACAGATCCTGGCTCCACTCGTAAGTTTATCAAAGGGGACAACCTTTAAAACAATGATTGAACGGAGGTCATCAAAAGAGAAGGTAAACAAAACTTCCCTTTTATTTTTCTTATATCAATCATCTGCTTTAGAAGTGTGTACATGTATAAGACATTATTGATGTGAACTTAGCTCCAGCAACCATTCGGATTTTGATTATGTTACAAATCAATGAATTCAACTCAAAGTTTAGTAAAAAATCAAAAATTGCTGACATTTGACCCTTGAAGTCTTTTATATTAAAAACAGATATAGCTTGTATATGTTTTTATCATTATTGTGTTTACATATACAGAGAATCTGAATCAGATTTAATTGCATGTCTTTGATGGCCTCCTCGTGCCGCCATATGGTCAACATTCAATATACCATCTGAGCTTAGGGTACTTTCGAATAACTGAGGGGTATGCTAATGAAATCTTGTGCCTTTAATAGTAACAAAAAAGAAATCTGATTATGATGCTATCCTTAATCAAGACACTAAATATACTTAATCACTGTTAGGTAACTAATGCTACGGTCACAAAGGTTTGTACGAACGATAATTTCGTTCCAATCTCCCTGTTTTTCTATTGTCTTCCCGAATTGCCATTGTCTGAAAATCATTCGTACGGCGTTCGTAGCAGTTCATAACGGCAATTGTGACCGACTGTTGTTTCAGGGATGTCCTGCGTGGCTACCTAAGAGGCATTTCTAGCACCTCTGGGGGATCATCAGGTTAGGATTCTTTAAAAAGGCAAAACGTTTGCTCCATTTTCTCCCCAACTCAACTCCCCAATCTTAGCTCCTTTAGAAGCCACATGCATATTGTTGAAATTCAATATGGCCACCATCCTGGTAAGGTAGTCATGAAGTTCAAAACGAAAGGGCAGAATAGTGTAATAATATGTTGTTATTGTTTGTTAGGTCAGAGAATATAATGCTAATATATTGTAATCAAATTGACGTCAGCATCACTTGTGAAATCCATCCTGGAAATAACTATGGGAAACGGTTACCCGGAGCCTACAGGAGGTGGAGGCATCAATGATCAGACGCTAAATAATGACCGGGTCTGTTGCTACAGCTCCCTGCCAGCTGAACAGCTCAAATATGATGCAGACGTACTAGTTAACCCATAGCATTTGTCCAGGCACCAACAAGCCTATAATAGTTGTGGTATTCTCATAAGATTGCAGCAGTCAGAGAATCCTCAATTCAATAAATTTTATTCTCAAATGCATACCCACAACAAGGACATTTGTTTCGTTCACCTGTAAAATAAAGGCTGACATACATTGTTGATCATATTGGTGGAATAATTATTTTTACCCCAATTTATGGAAGGATTTTGACAATGATTTATTCCTAATAGATCTAAGTACCGGTAATAGTATACATTCTCAGATTTTTTTTAATAATAATTTGCGAGTGTTCGTTTTTGCGTGACTGCTAATTAGCATGTGTGTGCTGATATGCTAATCATAGGGGATCTACGTCCTTAAGTCATAACTGACAGTAAAGAGGATTAATGCCTCACAAAAGAGCACTAATATAGCTGATCGACACAGTTTTGATCATGGGGCCTCACAGTAAAGGGGTCATTGCTAAGCCACTGAATTATGACTGTACGCAGCGGGGGCTAGGGTACGGGGGCGCCCCAACAAAAGAACAAATAAAGAAAATGCAACAAATTATCAATAAATCATTGCATTCCCCCCCCCCCCCGTCTCCGACAAGAAAAAATTGTATGTAGGACCATGCATTATGGTTCAAAGCATGGTCACACACAGGATCTTTGTGACGTTTTTCACTTACAGTGAACCTAGACACTAGGGAAAAATGTTGACATAAAATAGACAATGTTACATCACTATTAGATTATCTGTACCATCAACCCTATTTTTTACCGGGAAAATATATTTCATTATTCTAGCCCTTTGTTTTGAAAATTACAATAAGACTTTGAGATCATATGATGGCTATATAAACTGGTAGGATTTTACCACAACGATGGTCCCAGGGGGCGCATTTCTTGACACCAAATTAATGAAATAACATCGGAAACACAATTCTTTTTTCTGAGAAGCCCATAGCTAAAGAAACTCTTATCATTCTAGTCTAGTCGTTCTTGTGTTGAAATCTAAATTGATTTGAAGTTCACATGGCGACCATATTTGATTTTGGGAGTGGGGGTTCCTTCAGCCTTCCTGATATCAAACTGATGGACCGACATTATAGAAATCTTATTATTTTTGGTCGAATCCAAAGATGTCCGTCAAAAATCAAATTGGTATGGTACGGTCGACATCTGGGCAAAATTTAGTGCTATTAGAACAATTTGCACCAAACTGTCATTATCTTTCCGTAACATCCCCAACTAATTCGGTATCAGAGTTATAACCAGAACAAATTTTGGAACAAATTAATAAACTTACAGCAGGTCTTCCAATTATTGTCTCCTTTACGTAACATGTCATTTTGAGATCACTTTCTGCTGCCTGAATAACGATCTCTTGTTCTGGATGGGCAGGTACGAATTCTTGTTCCTCTTCTTGTCTTTTTATCAACTGTTACCGAAGAAAATAAAAGAAATTATACAGGCTGTATACATATACCAGGAAAAAGAACAACTAATGTCCCAGCAATAAAACTTTTTTTTATGAACCAGTTTCTATAATATAAAGTTTAAATCAAACAACATACTTGTATAACTTAAATCTTTCTCAAAGATGAAGAACACCTCATATTGGCAGAATTTTGGCTGGAAAAACAGCTTTGTCGGTGGTGTTGTTTGTCTTATTATTTTGTTCTTAAGCTCTTAAGAGCCTCTAGTGTACACCAAATGCAATGTATTGTGAACATTTTAAACCATAGTACTGTAGCTGTAGATTTAATGTTGCTTCTTCCAATAAATAATTTATTTTCTGAAAAGTATGAACCAAAAACTGTGGATCTTTGCCACGATACAGATTCCTTAACTGCTGCAACAAAAAAATACCTGGCAATTCCCTTTTATGGCATCATAGAGGTGTGCACGTAAGATGACAGGTGTCTTCTGTAGGGCTAGGTTCTTTTCTTTAAATGGCCGACAGCGCATTTTCTTTTCTTTGAAGAAGAAATTCTTGATCATCAACTTAATCTTCGCCCATGAAAAGTGGTTCATCTTCAGTTTGAGTACATCTTTTGTGATGGTGCAGCTAGGTGTTCCAGACCTCGACAGCATAATTCGTTCTTTAACAACTGCATCTATAATCAACAATATGGCGATACAAATCAGGAAAACTGTGGACACATTAAATCGAGGGATAAACATAGTTCTTAAAGTAATTCAATAACAAGCAAAGGTAAAAGACCTCTGCAAAGAGTTATTGTGGGTTCATTCATATTAACAAAGTTAACCTTAGACATTTTTAGGCCAACTTTTCGGCACCTGACCCTTCAGACCAATCTCTTAAGAAATAGGTCATCTTTATAAACACAGAAGTCGGTCAGGGACAGTATTCTGAAAACTAATGTTTAGTCCCAGAATTTAAATACCATACCTCTGAATTGGTAATCTGAAAACTATGTTAAGGGTATATTATCTTCTTTAGGATAACACCGACACTTCCATTTAAATGAATTCTCTAGTGATAATGTCTCTTAAAAAGTACTCAGCAAATTGTGTTTCATGTTAAATCGTGCCTTTACAGCGCATATTGCAGTTTTGAAAGAAACTACAAAAGAAAAAAGAAAGAAAGAAAATCTCAACTGCATTTCACGTAATACCCCTAGACCAATGTTATTTTCTACATTTTATTATGTATTATGTTTTTTGCTAAAAGAGTTTTCAGAATGCCAGAACTATAAAAAGCCTCGGTCACAAATGCCATTACGAACTGCTACGAACGCCGTACGAACGATTTTCAGACAATAGAAACTCGGGAAGACAATGGAAAAACAGGGAGATTCGCATCGTTCGTACGAACCTTTGTGACCGTAGCTTTATCTCTCACGTTTAGTCCACCGCCACGTATGAGGTTTGCATAAGTTTAAAAGTATGCACACTGCATCTTCCCGCCAAAATATATCTAAACACTGTATTGGACTTAAAATCATTGTTAGAATACAGATTATAATAGCTAACATACTTTTCACGCTAACATAGTATTAGAATACAACCCAATTTCAAAGAAAACTTTTTCGTTTCTATTATTTCCAAATTGTCACTATATACATTTCATGTAGGTTACATTTACATAGGTTATCAGTAGAATAGAGTGGGTCCATACATCGAGGGACATATGCTACCAAAGGAGGGGGGGGGGGCACCTGTCATATTGGCTGATGAAGTGCAAATTGAAATGGCTTTTGATCAGGGAAAGGTACATGGGGCAGGAAAAACAGCTGAGGGATTATAGCATTTTCTTGTCAAGCTTTTTCTTGTCAAGCATTTCCCCCTTTAATTTGTTAACGATATATTGTTGTTTGCCAAGGAGAAAGAAACCGACGATGATGGCGACAAGAAGATGAAGGGAAGCAGCACTACCCATACACATGACCTGTCGAGTCTGGAAGAGAGGGTAGAGGATATGAGGGGGGGGGGGGTGGTTACAAAAGTTTAAATCGTTCTTATAATAGACCGTAGTGTACAAGACTGCCTTCACACTGGAGTATCGTGAATATTGTTGGGACGCTTACTGTCGCAAAGGGTTTGATTTGGATGCACTTCAAGAGAAAGACTTGTTAAGATTTTCATATCAAGTTTGGGCCAATTAATGTTGCGCTCTGAAATGTGCTCTGAAATTTCAGCTGCCGTGCACGATGTCAATTGCTTTGTTCTGAAGTGATTGTTGCTACACACATAATTTTGGTGGACTTCATTTTACAAAAAGTGAAATCTAATGGAATTATTGTGAGCAACATTTTAAAACCAAAATTCAAAGAAATGTCATAACTATCTCCAGTTAGATATAACATCCTTCAACTTTACAATGTGAAGACGTCAATTAATGTTTCGAGTCACTCACGATCAAAAGTGTAAAACGTTTTTATAATACACCTTCTACTTTTAATGGAAAATGGGAGTTACATTTGTTTATTTACCTATCACTAAGTGTTTCATTTAATTACAAAAAGGTTTTGACAGACATTCATCAAATGCCATTGCTACATGATGTCTATACATGTTGAGATGTACTTACCGGTTGAGTATTCTCCTTCTCCCGTGTACAAGACTGCCTTCACGCTGGAATATCGTGTAATCACAGCACAATGGGGCATTGTGTAAGTCACCGGTAACTTAAGGACTAAGTCATCAGGGGCTAAACACTGTACACCGCAGCAGACTGACATCTCTTCTTTGCTGTTGCCAAGATTTTGAGTATCTGTCAGGACACGAAGAGAAATTTCCTGCGGCGCTTCGCTGTCAATTGCACCGGGAGGGATCTCAAGTTCAATTCCGAAGGAATCTAGCTGAAGTTTGCCACCTTTAACTCCAACTCTCTTACAACATTCCATCTTGATTGGTACGACATTGACTTCATCTGGTAATATAATTGTAATTTTTTAAAACTTGAAATTCTCATAGATATACCGGTAGGCTCTTCAAATTGGCTGAATCAGTAAAGTATCTGGGATACAGTGACGGACATTCCCATAAAGACTTATCTGCGACCATGTCACGGTTTATTAATAATAATAATAATAATAAATTCCACTCCAAATTTTATTGCTGTTCGGATTACAACCAATTCGTCCACCACCCAATAAGTCTATTCCCATATGGTCTACACCTAGCCCGTCTACAATCCACATGCTCTTATAATCAATTTTATGTCTACTCATTATTTGGTCTAATGGCCATTAAATATAAAGACCAGTTATGGTCATGCGATTGCATTGTGAAAGAAATGCAGTGGAATCGATCAGAAAAGGTTGATCATCTAGCATATAAGTATTGGTGTGTACTGCAAGGTTCTGGAATCATCAAAATGCTAAGAAATGTGGCCCAGTCACGGTAAAGTTACAAGCACTGTACACAGAAAGATGACTATGGGACTACGCAACACGTGCATGATATCTATCAAGTCCAAATAGATATAACAATTTACCAAATATATCAGTAGGCGGTTTCTCAGCAAAATTTGTATCACGTATTAGTCAAAACATATTCTTTCACAAGATTGGTAATGAGAGCTTCCATTTCATATTTTGAGAGGGGGGCGTTTCCAAAACTGATCTCTACCTTTAAGGCTATAATAGCCAATTGGTCTAATCTCAAATAAGTCGACAACCCATTTGGTCTATTGCTCATTTAGTCTAATGTCCAATCGGTGTAATTCCCAGTTTGTCTAATGACCATTTTGTCTACTATCCATAAGGTATAGTAATCATTTGATGATTGTCATTGTGTATGATAACATAATTATCATACCATATGAAAAGTATAATTTGAGAAATAATAGTATTGAAATTATGTTCATTCTTTATGGGATGTCGTCTGTTTGGAAAAGATTGGTTCATATTGTGACGTCATTAAAACATCAATACCTTTCTGGTGAATCTCTTGTATATCCCAGATGCTATGGAGGTGGTTTTATTTGTATTTGTATAAATCACCCACTGTGTAGTCGACCTAAAACGTGTACGATGGCCATCTGTCAGCTTACCAGTTTCTAGTGATACGTTATTTGCCATATTTGTGATAGTCTTTGAATGGGCACTTTAAGGCACAAAACTGTAGAGCGCAGATAAAAAGGAAAAACATGTGGTAAACCGCTGCAGTATACCCCTATATATGTGAACAAATTCATTAGTGCAAACATACATACATGTATAATCTTAATAAACTCACATATTGAAGAAGTTGGGGGGAGTGAGAAGGATGAGGTGGGTGACGAGGATGGGGAGGTCCTCCTCTTCAGCTCGAAATGCATCGACGTACCCTGCTTAGAGTCTTCATGTGATGCCTTACTGTCATGTTCAACTGTGACCTTTACATTAGGATACATCTCTGAAAGTTTGTGGATGTCACTTTGAGACAACGGGCATTCCACATTTAAGAACTTGAGTTCTCGAAGCGAACTCTCTTTCCCTGTGCACTGTGGTGGATGACTGGTACTCTGAGGAATGTCAACCTTGCACCTGTCTAATGTCAGGACAGTTACTCCTTCGAGTTCAGTTGACACAAGATGCATTAGGTCAGCCATGGGTACAGCTGTTGGTGCACCTTCAAGTTGTAGCTCAGAACCTGAAAATGTTCGGTACCACGTAACAGAGGTAAGTTCTGCATCTCCAAGCTGCACCTTCTTTGCCTCAACATACCTCAAACGTGGATTTATCACATAAAATACATGTAATACATGAATTAAAGTTACAAATTTGTAGCAATCATCCGTCTCAAATGGTTCAAGATGGATGTTGGTCAGATGTGGCATCTTGCATGATGTAATTTCTTTGCCTGACTTGATCGATAGACTTCTTCCAAAGCCTGATAACACCAGTGATACAATATTTGGACAGGAGGTACAAATATCAATTAACAGGCTGTCTGTAGGTACGTCATCTGAACACCTGCCCTCACATCTTAATTTAAGCTCTCTCACTGATGATGATGAATTGACCTCATGAAATAATGCTTGATCGGATGGAGAAATTAGACTCTCTATTAGCAGATCTAGACTCGCTGCATTTAGAAACAATTTACTGACCTCCAATAGTGTATCATGAAGTGTTTTTGAACTATACAGGGTCTTAATGCAAACTGTGATGACAGATCTCATAGGCATAAGCTTAGGCTTAGGCATGAGGGTTAATGGGTGTAGTTGCATCCAGTGGCAGTGTAAATCAACGGAGATATGTTTCACTACCGGACACAATGGAGCCAGTATGGAGATGACATCTTGGAAGAAATCGGCATCCCATAGTACAAGATGAGTCTCATCATCGGTGCTTATCCACGCGATTACATGTAGCTCCCGTCCAGCATCACCCCTCATAACAGTGTCCTGCCCAGATTTCTTGGCTGAATAAAAAACGACAATTAAACAACCCATTTTGTGTGGCCTCTCCCGGCCAATTCACATAAAAGTACACTAAACAGCATTATATATTAAAAAATCGAATATAATAAACAAATCTTGCGGTGAGGTATCGATATAAAATTGAACAACACAATCATATAATCTATCTAGCATATCCTTCTAGTTGATAAACACCCTGCATTCCACATAAAATGTTTACAAAAATGCTATCCTTCTTTTTAAAGGTAATTTGGAAAGACTATTTCAACAAGCACTATGAGAAATTAAATCTAAAATGGAGGGAGAGGGTGTTCAGATCAGAAGGTCTACTGTAAGAGTTAAAAGACCCCTCAAAAATATTTGTTTTATTTTTATATTTGTATCCTGATCTCAATAATGTCTCCATCAAGCACATGTGGTAAATTAAAAGACTTAATCACATCTATCCAGATATTTTACTGAATTACTGAATGTTGTAGATTGACACTACATGTACTTTGTATGTACATGTAGATACCACATAGGGAATAATAGGAATTAAGTAACTTTGTGACTTGATGGCATCATGATAGCTTTAGCCATGTTATACAGTTTAATAATTGTAACTATAAAAATTGTAATAATAATGATAATAATAAAGATAATAATAAGAACTAGATGGAATTCGACTGCGCGCAGTCGAAAATGATGCCTCCGTCATAGAGCAATTTTACAAACCAAAACAAAACAAATTTTTCAAATTCAAGTTCAATTGTAATCCATTAAAAGGTTCTCAGAATATCGTGATTAGGCCTACAAGCAATTTCTCATATACATATATGACCCTTTGATCTTTGACCTCATGACCCTAAAATCTACTCAGTTCATTGGCTCTGCAAGATGTCCTGAGTTAAATAGTAATTCATCTGTCAGTTCTAATGAGAATGAGTTCACAAGCTATTTTAGCATACATAATGAGCCCATGACCTTTGACCTTATGAACCAAGAATCTACTCAGTTCATTGGCTCTGCAAGATACATAAATGATCTAAGTTTGGCAGGAATCCATCAATCTGTTCTAATGAGAATACGATCACAAGCTATTTTTGCATACATAATGAGCCGCATGACCTTTGACCTTGACCTCATGATCCCAAAATCAAATCAGTTCATCAGCTCTGCAAGTAACATACATGACCTAAGTTTGGCAGGAATCCATCAATCGGTTCTTGAGATAACGCGATCACGAGCTGTTTTTGCATACATAATGTGCGCTGTGACCTTTGACCTCGTGACCCCAAAATCTAATCAGTTCATCGGCTCTGCAAGTAACATACATGACCTAAGTTTGGCAGGAATCCATCAATCGATTCTTGAGATAACGCGATCACGAGCTGTTTTTGCATACATAATGAGCCCTGTGACCTTTGACCTTTGACCTCCTGATCCCAAAATCTAATAAGTTTATCGGCTCTGCAAGATACATACATGACCAAAGTTTGGCAGGAATCCATCAATCAGTTCTTGAGATAACGCGATCACGAGCTGTTTTTGCATACATAATGAGCCCTGTGACCTTTGACCTTTGACCTCGTGACCCCAAAATCTAATCAGTTCATCGGCTCTGCAAGATACATACATGGCCAAAGTTTGGTAGGAATCCTTAAATCGGTTCTTCAGATAACGCGATCACGAGAACGGGACGTACGTACGTACGTACAGACGTACGTACAGACGTACGGACAGACGGACGGACAACCCGAAAACATAATGCCTCCGGCTACTTCGTAACGGAGGCATAAAAATCATCATCATACAAATAGCAATAACCATATGTATATGCTAGGGGATGCTCAAGGTGCCTAGAAAGTCCTAAAGAGTGGTGAAGTGTGACGTCATCAAAAATCTATTTTCAGAATTTCTCAATCATTTCTTCATTTTCTGAAAGAGCATCACAAATAAGGTACAAATGTCCGAATCCAATTGAATTTATTAAGTATTGGCTGAGATATGACCATCTGAATAAATAGATGTCCTATAGGAACTCAGTGTTATATGCTCTGGCTCCTAATGGTGTACTGTCTTCATTTTGGAAATTTGTTATTGTAGTCCAGTAGACGGTACCATATACCATGTACATGACCTGGAAAAGTTGATAAGTACTAGGTTTTTGTGTTGATTTGTGTTCTAGATGTGTATTGAAGTAAATTCAGCTTGGTTGCCAGCTTGACAACCTTGAGCAACTTTTGTAATAGCCATATTAGCATAATCATCTAATTAGCATATGTGCAATATGTAATAATGTTGCTAATCTCGATCCAGGAAGCCTGAAACCATGGATAAGACGACTTTTCAAGGGTTTTCTATGACAAGGAATTCATTTATGACACCAATTTTTATTTTTAAGTAATACAATTGTCTTGAATAGCATAATTAGCATAAAATGTACAATATATGGACTTCATTGTCATTGTTTATTTATAAAGCCTAAAAATGGTACAATGCAACATTGTAAATCACTTTTGAAAAATTAATCATTAATTCATGAGAAGATATTCCATGTATATGTAGTATAATTAGCCTAATTAGCATAATAATCTAATTAGCATATATGTGTAGTATGTAATAGTGTTGTTAATCTTAATCCAGGAAGGCTGGTAACATGGATAATGTGACTTTTCAAGGATTCTCCATGACGAGTAATTCGTTTATGACACCAGTATTTATTTTTGAGTAATGCAATTGTCTTTAATAAATAGCATGATGAGCTAATTAGCATAAGTTTGATATATGGACTTTATTGTCATTGTTTATCTATAAAGCCTAAAAATAGTGCAATGCAACATTGTCAATGACCTTTTGAAAGACTACACATTAATTCATTAGAAGATATTCCATGTAGATGTAGTATAACTAGCCTAATTAGCATATACAATGTATGTGCAATATTTAATAATGTTGCTAATCTTAATCCAGAAAGATTGAAAACATGGATAATATGACTTTTCCAGGGTTTTCCACTACGAGGGATTCAGTTGTGATACCAGTTTTTATTTTTAAGTAATGCAATTGGCTTAATATGTAATTAGTGTACTAATAAGCTTAATCAGCATATATGTAGAATATCAATTATTTGGGACTCTATTTAGCTTCACAAATTGTATGTCCAATGTGGTGGTTATCTTGGTTGCAAGGCAATGTTGTCGAACCTCATGAAATGTCTAGGAAATGACGGGGTCATCATACACATTGAAGGTTGGGCTTCAGTCATTGGATTAATAGAGAGACTGTCGGAAACATACTGAAGATGGTTAAAGCAGATGATAGTGATGGAATTGAATATGTGGTGAGACAGGTACGTACGTAGGCCAGGGATGTTGAATATAACAGTGCGAACTATGATCTGTCTATGTTTACCAAAGCTAGAACCATTGAGAGTACAAGCCCCACATTATTACATATTGCACATAAATGCTAATTAGATTATTATGCTAAATAGGCTAATTATATGACATCTACATGGAATATCTTCTCATGAATTAATTATTAGTCTTTCAAAAGTGATTTAAAATGTTGCATTGCACCATTTTTAGGCTTTATAGATAAACAATGACAATGAAGTCCATATATTGTACGCATGCTTATTAGCTCATTATGCTCATTGTACTATTTCAGACAATTGCATTAGTTGGAATCAAAAACTGGTGTCATAAATGAATTCCTCGTCATAGAAAACCCTTGGAAAGTCATATTATCCATGTTTTCAGGCTTCCTGGATTAAGATTAGCAACATTATTACATATTGCACATAATTAGGCTAATTATACTACATATACATAGTATATCTTCTCATGAATTAATGATTAATCTTTCAAAAGTGATTTACAATGTTGCATTGCACCTTTTTAAGGCTTTATCGATAAACAATGACAATGAAGTCCATATATTGTACGCATGCTTATTAGCTCATTATGCTCATTGTGCTATTTCAGACAATTGCATTACTTGGAATCAAAAACTGGTGTCATAAATTAATTCCTCGTCATAGAAAACCCTTGAAAAGTCATATTATCTATGTGTTCAAGCTTCCTGGATTAAGATTAGCAACATTATTACATATAGCACACATACACAGTCGCTCATAAAGGTGATTTTTTTTTTATCCCAATTTATGGAATTATTTTAAAAATAATTTAAAAATAATAGATCTAGATAATAGTATACATTCTCGGATTTTATTGAATAATAATTTGCCAATGTGTGTTTTGCGTGACTGCTAAAGCATGTGTATGCTACTATGCTTATCAAATAGGGGACCTATGCCCTTAGGTCATAAATGACAGTAATGAGGATTAATGCCCCACAAAAGGGCACTAATATAGCACATCGACACGGTTTTGATCCTGGGGCCTCACAGTTACGAGGCCATTGCTTTGTCACTGAACCATTACTGTACGCAGCGGGGGCTAGGGTAGGGGGCAGTTTCCATAAATTTTAAAAAAAAAACAGAAAATGCAATAAATGTTCGATAATTTATTGCATTTTACCCCGGGTCCCAACATAAAAAATCTTCTGTGTGCCCATGCCTTGAGCCATAATGCATAGCCGTCCAGAGGATTTGTTTATGTTGGAGACCGGGGTAAAATGCAATAAATTATTGAAAATTTATTACATTTTCTGTGTTTTTATTTATTTATGGAAACTGCCCTCTACCCTAGCCCCCGCTGCGTACAGTCATGGTTCAGTGACTAAACAATGGCCTCGTAACTGTGAGGCCCCATGATCAAAACCGTCTCGATGAGCTATATTAGTGCCCTTTTGTGGGGCATTAATCTTTATTACTGTCATTTATGACTTGAGGGCATAGGTTCCCTAGTTAATAAGCATAGTAGCATACATATGCTTTAGCAGTCACGCAAAACACACATTGGCAATTTATTATTCAATAAAATCTGAGAATGTATACTATTATCTAGATCTATTATTTTTAAATAATTTGTGTAATAGTTCCATAAATTGGGGTAAAACTAAAATATTCCACCTTTATGAGCGACAGTGTATGCTAATTAGATTATTATGCTAATTAGGCTAATTATACTACATTTACATGGAATATCTTCTCATGAATTAATGATTAATCTTTCAAAAGTGATTTACAATGTTGCATTACACCATTTTTAGGCTTCATAGATAAACAATGACAATGAAGTCCATATATTGTACATGTTATGCTAATTATGTTATTTAAGACAATTGTATTACTTAAAAATAAAAATTGGTGTCATAAATGAATTCCTTGTCATAGAAAACCCTTGAAAAGTCGTCTTATCCATGGTTTCAGGCTTCCTGGATTGAGATTAGCAACATTATTACATATTGCACATAATGCTAATTAGATTATTATGCTAATTAGGCTAATTATACTACATATACATGGAATATCTTCTCATGAATTAATGATTAATCTTTCAAAAGTGATTTACAATGTTGCACCATTTTTAGGCTTCATAGATAAACAATGACAATGAAGTCCATATATTGTACATTTTATGCTAATTATGCTATTTAAGACAATTGTATTACTTAAAAATAAAAATTGGTGTCATAAATGAATTCCTTGTCATAGAAAGCCCTTGAAAAGTCGTCTTATCCATGGTTTCAGGCTTCCTGGATTGAGATTAGCAACATTATTACATATTGCACATATGCTAATTAGATGATTATGCTAATGTGGCTATTAAAAAAGTTGCTCAAGGTTGCCAAGCTGGCAACCAAGCTGAATTTACTTCAATACCCATCTAGAACACAAATCAACAAAAAAACCTTGTACTTATCAACTTTTCCAGGTCTGAAAAACTTCTACAGGACTATTGCTACATGTACACAAAGGCTGGCATATTTTTATTCCAAATGTCCTAGCTACTGCCTACCTTTACTTTTTGAGTACACGTTCATCATCCTGAAGTTAGTCACCGTTACATAAAATAATTCAACATTTCATTCACATGTATTCCTCTATTTAATGTCTGACGGAAGATGAAAGTTGTTGAATCTTTTTAAAATGCTTGAAAAGGCACATTAGATAGTTTGGGACGTAATATATATATTTTTGTCTACAAAGAAATTCCTGTCATTTGTATTTTTTTTCAAAGAACCTTTTGTAAACCTAATTGAAAGAAAAGAGAAAAATATTTGCACGGTCATACAGCATATCTGTTTAATCAGGATTTTTTTAATTTTTGGGGTTAGCTTTTATTTCCAAAATGGAAGAGCTTTTTTAAAGCTATAACAATGCTATACACGGTACATGTAATTCTTTTCAAGGGTTTCAACACATTGTTGTTACAAGTCCAACACCATAATTTTCACGTAATGATTTTGAATCTTATCTGATATTTGTTCACATACCTTCTCTTCCAAGCCTGATGGGTGTATCCGGATATCTATCACACACAGTCACTTTTCGAGTGTGAAGTAGAACTCCTTCTAACTCCTTTGCCTATGAAATGTAATAGGAAAACATGAAAAGGTCTCATAAGATAATTCTTACTCTAAAAGAAGCCTATACCCAGAATTGTTGAAGAAAAAAAAACACATCCAATAAATCATAACAAAAATATTTTGTCAACTTTCTCTTGGATTATTCCAAGGCAGATGAACTAGAACAACATTTTTCAACCAGGTTGCAAGAACAATGAGCTCTTCTGTGGGCCCCTATATACATTTAAATTTTAGTGGAAGGCGTAGGTGCCTCAACTCCCCTCAACGGATTCAGCACATCATATAGCATATGTTTTAATCGCGTCAGTAAAATACATGATTTTTTACACAAATTTTGTAGGTCCCCCTAAATGATGTTATATCGGTTGACTTGATAAGTACCTTTAGTACATGTATAACACACTTCTAAATGTCTTTAGACAGAGAAACATCTCACTATAGTATGATGCTCTTAAATGTTTATGTTGCATTTGGGCGTTTACAATCAAATGTTGGGTACCTGAGACATATTTAGCCGTCACAACCTTGGCAGCAATGATCGATGGCTACAATTATGCGTACAAACCCTGTTTTCTACAGATGTGTAAAGAGACAACTCTGGGTAGGCTGGCTTGATCATTTGAAAAAGAGTTGAGGAGGGATGCAAGATCATTTATAAAGCATGTGATCCAAAGAGGATAGTATGACCCCCAAAGATGGTCGTTTTAATTATTCCCCCCCCCCCCCTTGATATTAAAGGTATGGGAAATTTGTATTTTGGAGAATATGAACCAACAGAAAAATAAATATTCAGAAAAATGAGTAACACCATTATAATTATGTTTTGCTGGAGCTTGTTCCTTCAGCCTTATGGACTAAGAGTGACTCATATTAAAGGGATAGTTGAGTTCTGTTTTCAGTCCGCAAATGCCTTCAAAGTGCATGGTAGTTGCTCTTATTCTTAATTATGACATTTATTGTGCCTTTTTAGAACCTAAAATTGCTACGAAGGTAATTTTTGACCCCAAAATGTGTGAAATTTAACCACTACGATCATACCAATTCAGCTCCACTTTCAAAAAACATGTTGACCGTTAATGAATTACTTATTTAAATATAACAATACATGAGCTGGCTAATTGTGGGTAATGCCAACAAAAAAAATCCAACATCGGCATTGGCTGAAATACGACGTAAAGGCGTTATTTCGTTTTTTTTTCAACGTTTTTTTTCCAATTTTTCAAAATATCTAATATTTGTGGTGGTACACAAGTATTAAATCGTTATATTTCAGCCGTCTCTGAACCGATTTTGATCAAACAAAGATGATTTTGTCATTCAAATATTATGTTCAAATTTCAAATTTGACACTCAGTTTTTCATTTTCTCACAAAAATTGTATTGTGTATAGCGCCCTCTGCAACATAACTCAACTATCCCTTTAAAGCTGATATTCTAAGCAAATAAATGTCCCTTAATTTGGTACCTACGGCAAGTAAATGTTATTTATAATTATTTCAATTACATAGTATATGACACAACAATTCTGGCTACTCGGAATCCTTAATTTGAAATGTCGAAAATATCCGCCTCGCCTTGCATAGAAAATCAGTCACGGCGCTGGTCTACTATATATGACATCACGTCCGGGAAAGAGTATATTCACGTACCCGGATGTTCCATAGAAAGCATGTGCAGAGAGATACGATTTTCTGCTTATTTTTGTTTCAAAGGCTGAAAAGTCTAATAAATCATAATTCTATGTACAATTCTTTACCTTCCCCTAATATTTCATAGTATTAATACCAATTCCCCTTTTACAAATTATGACATATACATGCCAACGATGTACTATTAGTCGATATTTTCACCAAGTAATTTTTGTTTTGATGTTGAAATCTGCCCAGGCACGGAGTGAACAGTAGCTGTCTGGTAAGTGGACCCATGCACAGTTCATTACCATACAGCGATCTCCCGATGGTTTCTTCTTCCCTTTACCTATGTATTTCGCCTTCCTTGGCCCTGAAGATCCTTTATCTTCTTCCATGCTGTGCATTGTGCGATCTATCAATACTGATACCGGTAGCCAGGAGCAAGTCTTTGTTAGTTGTTTTTCTTAGATGGTATAACGTCGCTTTCATTCTCTTGCAATTGCCGATAATCATGTAACTAGCGCACGTACGTTCCATCACAAGCAAGCCGCGCCTAGAGCAGCGGCCTGGTCTTACCTCCCGATTCTGCTCACTTCACGAACGTTCGTGCAAGAGCCGCATCACTCGCGGATGAATATCGTTCGATCACTAGACCTTGTCAAATTATTATAGAGCAAGCGCGCTTGCATGATCTCGTTCAAGTTTGACATTTTACAACATAAAATGTTTAACTGGTACTGTACCCTTTTTTGAGGCAGTCACACACATCTATGATAAGTACTATCATAGTTCTAGGCCTATTTGTTTAACAAAACTGCTCCTGTACCTTATCTGATGACATTTTACAAGATAATGCATCCGCCTATTCATGATTTAACCTTGTTTCCCAAGCAGTAAACTCGTCTTAAATCTCTACTGAATAGGTGAATATGAGGATATAAAAAGAAATCAGCGACTGAAAAATGTTGCTTTGTTATTCTTCATTCAAATGAAAACAGAAAATCCATCAAATTTACTCATTAACAAAAACAAATCTAAGCTCTGACAGGATAGCATTTACGTTGGGATATCACTGCTATTCACTCTCACTGAACCCATGGGTCCCGTTCGTGACGTCATGGACAGAGGCCCTACTATACATGCACTTCCGGGTTTCAGACTTAGATAGTTTGGTAGAGTTTACTCGCTGAAATTCACTATTCTAAACTTGTTTTTGTCAGTTGGACACCATTTAGTGTTATTATGGGGGTTAAAAGCTTTCTATTGATGTACTTATCTCAATATTTGGGATTGTCTTAGAATATAAACTTTAAAGGAATTGACAACATCATCGCCAACACGCTTTCTAGAGCAAAGGCATATCTATTGAACAGTTGTAAGTTGTAAAAAAAACATAAAACGGGCCCTGATCTATCCATTATACAAGGTTAATTGAATAAAGAACATAAGGCTATTGTAACAAACTCTACAAAATACTAAAGAGCTTTGAGTGTTATCAAGTGACATAGTGTACACTGACATAACAGTAGGAAATATAAAACTAAAATCTGAAAGTGCTGCAAGGTAGGGGGGGGGGGGGCATTTACATTGACACAGAGATCTTGGCTATGGTTAGCGATATGAAGATGAAAATTGGTACACATATTGAATAAAGTATACACGACATTGACACAGAGCTTTCATCCAATGTTGGCAATACCCTATTACAATGTTACGTGAGGACTAAACAATGTGGAAAGAGAGTACAAAGCATTGAATATTAATTCAAATCAAATGTGGTCTTTTTTGGACATGTTTTAAACTTTGATATGCCTTAGTTCGGACATGGGAAGTTACACATAATTAAATATTCTTTAGCATAACAGAATACATGGACTTGGCAACATTGTTCAATGGCTACAGGTTATGCATACAAACCTTCAACAAGTTCATTTGTCTTTGTAAATCCAACTCTTTGTCGCGTAGCTCTCTGATCTGAAAGAGTTGAGTAAGGGTAAAGAGCATTTATAAAGCATGTGATCCAAACAGGACACTGTGACCCCAAATTTTATATTCTATATATACATTTTATAAATACATTTCATTAACAAAATCAGTCAGGGTCATTGTTTTAAGTTTCAATCCATGTTTTAGAAAAGGTAACACTTTCCCTGTTGGAGCCAAGTGCGTACCTACCTAATTACCCAGAGACATGATTAAACGGCTAAAATTGGTAGAAGGACAGAACAAAACATTGAGAGCAGCTTGGCAGCAATGATCGATTGCTACAATTATGCATACAAACCCTGTTTTCTGCAGATGTGTAAAAGAGACAACTCTGGGTAGGCTGGCTTGATTATTTGAAAAAGGGTTGAGGAGGGATTCAAGATCATTGATAGAGCATGTGATTCAAAGAGGATCCCCTTGGATTTTAAAGGTATGGGTAATTTTGTATTTTAGAATATATGAACCAACAGAAAAATAAATATTAAGAAAAATGAGTAACTCCAATATAATCATATATCAAGGTATTGCGCCTGGTATCTAAGTACCACAATAGATCATTGTTTTCAATAAGACTGATTTCTATGACAAGGCAGATTACACCAGCTTGTTGCCTTCTTATTGTATAACTTTCAAAGCTAATTAATTAAAGGTGATAGGCATTTCTTCTAACATACTTACGGCAATGAAATACCTTGCCTGTTCACATTGTAAAAGGTCTTGTTAGGTATAAACTTGGACCCAAAGTAAGAAATGGAATTGAAAATCTCAAGCAAACAAACCATGGATGAGTCAGCCAGTTTTGCAGTTATACCACCAGACCTCTTTCCTCCCTTCTCCTCCATCGACTGAAAATATATTAAAGCATAGACTTACGTAGTTATATTCAAATGTGAGTTTATACATTCACAAAATGTCATTCATAAACTTGGTAGCCATATTTTTCAATTCAATACAGGAACAAGAATTAGAGACTTTTTTGTTGGAGCTTGTTCCTACAGCCTTATGGACTAAGAGTGACTCATATTAAAGGAATAGACAACATTGATCATCGCCAATACCCTCTCTAGAGCATAGACATATCTTTTGATCAGATGTAAGTTGTAAAATACCATGAAACGGGCCCTGGTCTACCCATTATACAAGATTTATTGAATAAAGAACATAAGGGTATTAAACTCTACAAAATACTAAAGAGCTTTGAGTGTTATCAAGTGACATAGTGTACACTGACAAAACAGTACGAAATATAAAACTGAAATCTGAAAGTGCTGCAAGGTAGAGAGGGGGGGGGGGGCATTTACATTGACACAGAGATCTCAGCTATGGTTAGCGATATGAAGATGAAAATTGGTACACATATTGAATAAAGTATACACAACATTGACACAGAGCTTTTATCCAATGTTGGCAATACCCTATTACACTGTTACGTGAGGACTAAACAATGTGGAAACAGAGTACAAAGCATTGAATATAAATTCAAATCAAATTTGATCTTCTTTGGACGTGTTTTAAACTTTAATATGCCGTAGTTCGGACATGGGAAGTTACACATAATTAAATATTATTTAGCATAACAGAATACATGGACTTGATAAACAGTGTTCAATGGCTACAGGTTATGCATACAAACCTTCAACAAGTTCATTTGTCTTTGTAAATCCAACTCTTTGTCGCGTAGCTCTCTGATCTGAAAGAGTTGAGTAAGGGTAAAGAGCATTTATAAAGCATGTGATCCAAACAGGACACTGTGACCCCAAATTTTATATTCTATATATACATTTTATAAATACATTTCATTAACAAAATCAGTCAGGGTCATTGTTTTAAGTTTCAATCCATGTTTTAGAAAAGGTAACACTTTCCCTGTTGGAGCCAAGTGCGTACCTACCTAATTACCCAGAGACATGATTAAACGGCTAAAATTGGTAGAAGGACAGAACAAAACATTGAGAGCAGCTTGGCAGCAATGATCGATTGCTACAATTATGCATACAAACCCTGTTTTCTGCAGATGTGTAAAAGAGACAACTCTGGGTAGGCTGGCTTGATTATTTGAAAAAGGGTTGAGGAGGGATTCAAGATCATTGATAGAGCATGTGATTCAAAGAGGATCCCCTTGGATTTTAAAGGTATGGGTAATTTTGTATTTTAGAATATATGAACCAACAGAAAAATAAATATTAAGAAAAATGAGTAACTCCAATATAATCATATATCAAGGTATTGCGCCTGGTATCTAAGTACCACAATAGATCATTGTTTTCAATAAGACTGATTTCTATGACAAGGCAGATTACACCAGCTTGTTGCCTTCTTATTGTATAACTTTCAAAGCTAATTAATTAAAGGTGATAGGCATTTCTTCTAACATACTTACGGCAATGAAATACCTTGCCTGTTCACATTGTAAAAGGTCTTGTTAGGTATAAACTTGGACCCAAAGTAAGAAATGGAATTGAAAATCTCAAGCAAACAAACCATGGATGAGTCAGCCAGTTTTGCAGTTATACCACCAGACCTCTTTCCTCCCTTCTCCTCCATCGACTGAAAATATATTAAAGCATAGACTTACGTAGTTATATTCAAATGTGAGTTTATACATTCACAAAATGTCATTCATAAACTTGGTAGCCATATTTTTCAATTCAATACAGGAACAAGAATTAGAGACTGTTTTGTTGGAGCTTGTTCCTACAGCCTTATGGACTAAGAGTGACTCATATTAAAGGAATAGACAACATTGATCATCGCCAATACCCTCTCTAGAGCATAGACATATCTTTTGATCAGATGTAAGTTGTAAAATACCATGAAACGGGCCCTGGTCTACCCATTATACAAGATTTATTGAATAAAGAACATAAGGGTATTAAACTCTACAAAATACTAAAGAGCTTTGAGTGTTATCAAGTGACATAGTGTACACTGACAAAACAGTACGAAATATAAAACTGAAATCTGAAAGTGCTGCAAGGTAGAGAGGGGGGGGGGGGGCATTTACATTGACACAGAGATCTCAGCTATGGTTAGCGATATGAAGATGAAAATTGGTACACATATTGAATAAAGTATACACAACATTGACACAGATCTTTTATCCAATGTTGGCAATACCCTATTACACTGTTACGTGAGGACTAAACAATGTGGAAACAGAGTACAAAGCATTGAATATAAATTCAAATCAAATTTGATCTTCTTTGGACGTGTTTTAAACTTTAATATGCCGTAGTTCGGACATGGGAAGTTACACATAATTAAATATTATTTAGCATAACAGAATACATGGACTTGATAAACAGTGTTCAATGGCTACAGGTTATGCATACAAACCTCTAACAAGCTCCTACGTCTTTCTAAATCAAACTTTTGGTAGCGTAGCTCGCTTATCTGAAAGAGTTGAGTAAGGATAAAGAGCATTTATAAAGCATGTGATCCAAACAGGACACTGTGACCCCAAATTTTATATTCTATATAGACATTTTATAAATACATTCCATGTAAAAAAATCAGTCAGCGTCATTGTTTTAAGTTTCAATCCATGTTTTAGAAAAGGCAACACTTTCCCTGTTGGAGCCAAGTGTGTACCTAACTAATTACCCAGTGACATGATTAAATGGCTAAAAATGGTTGGAGGACAGAACAAAACATTGAGGGCAGCTTGGCAGCAATGATCGATGGATACACTTATGCATACAAACCCTGTTTTCTGCAGATATGTAAAGAGACAACTCTGGGTAGGTTGGCTTGATCATTTGAAAAAGAGTTGACGAGTGATTCAAGATCATTTATAAAGGAAGTGATCCAAAGAGGATAGTTTGACCCCCAAAGAGGGTCGTTTAAATTATTCCCCTCCCCCTTGGATATTAAAGGTATTGGAAATTGTATTTTGGAATATATGAACCAACAGATAAATAAAGACTGATTTATATTACAAGGCAGATTACACAAGCTTGTTGCCTTCTTATTGTATAACTTTCAAAGCTAATTAATTGAAGGTGATAGGCATTTCTTTTAATATACTTACGGCAATGAAATACCTTGCCTGTTCACATAGTAAAAGGTCATGTTGGGTATAAACTTTGACCCAAAGTAAGAAATGGAATTGAAAATCTCAAGCACACAAACCTTGAATGGGCCAGCCAGTTTTGCAGTTGAGTCATCAGATCTCTTTTCTCCTTTCTCCTCCATCGACTGAAAAGAAGTTAAAGCATATTTACATTAAATTGTGTCTTCCTTCCAACTTTATTCACTCAGGATTTTTTGTAGCGGCAACTCCATCATTCTTTTCTTCAAACAAATTGGATTTCTCTTCTTCATTCAAGTAGTTCCTCAACCAGTAGAATGAGAGTTTTGTATGATCTTCTCCTCAGAAAGTGAATCTTGGCACTGTAAGTATATAATAGATCTAATATGAGAAATTTTTCACCAACGATTCTGTTCTGAATATGTAGTTCAATTAATCAGTCCAGAGTATTTTCATACCATTCATGTCCAGGCTTTGAGGGTATCTTTGAGTCACACATTTTCTGCAGTTTTACAATGCCTATACGTATAATAAAATATTTCATGCTACTTGTCCAAAGGCTAAACAAATGTCATATTTTCAGTTCAATAACAAGTTACAACAAAGCTACTAAAAGCAATGCATTAGATTAGCTGTGACATGATTTGTCATAGCATTATGGCAATTGTTATTCAAAATCAGTTGCCCTGGGCCCGTCTTCTAAACAATTATAAATGATCCTAATCAATCGCAAGTTCTCCTATCAATCGCAAGTTTGCAGTTTCCAATTTCTCATTTACATACATGTGTAGTTGCGATTGATATCAATCACAATAAGGTTGCAATTAATATCAGCTCTTTATAAGACGGGGCCCTGATCAACATATCTTATATGAGATTTATTAAATAAAGAACATAAGGGAATTGAACCCAGGTCGGAATTCCAGTTGAAACCAGTAGGCAACTGGTACCAGTTAAAACCAGTAAGTCAACTGGTACCAGTTGAAACCAGTAGGTTCAACTGGTTTTTAATAGGGACTTTTAGATTCGCACGAAGACAATAGGTCTATGCTACGATCGACGTCCTTTTAAAGCACTGCCGTGAATGGAAGTACCACGTATCAGTCCACGCAAATCTAAAAGTCCCTAATATGGAAATTGAAACAACGCTAACTGAGACCAGTTGATTTACCAGTTCAATTACCAGTTGATTTACCAGTTGATTTACCAGTTCAATTACCAGTTGATTTACCAGTTGATTTACCAGTTCAGTTACCAGTTGATTTACCAGTTGATTTACCAGTTGATTTACCAGTTGATTTTTCAGATGATTATCCAGTAATCGATCAACTGATAACCAATAATCATTATTAGCATCTGGCCACCAACTTGACCACATATTACTAAACTCTTGCAATTACCCCATCACAATGATCATTTGAAGTAGATTACAGATGTGTATTATGTGAGTTGACATTTGTAATTCGTGCATACATATATATAAATGTATACACTTTATTTCTGGTTAGTAATTACGTATATCAATATATCTAATTTTACGTCTTAAATTAGATGAAAAACATGATCAGACATGTGTAATATATTTGTCAATAATTAACTAAGAAAATGTAAATTACAAAATGTATGTGCATTGTCACATTTGCTTGACAGATCATGATAATTATATTTTCTGTGAAAACATGCAAATTAATCATGAATATGCATAAGATATATTGAACTGGTTTTTCAACTGGTAAATCAACTGGTATTCGTACTGGTTTTCAACTTGTAAATCAACTGGTACTCATCTACTGGTTTTCAACTGGTAAATCAACTGGTAATCGTACTGGTTTTCAACTGGTAAATCAGTTGGTAATCATCTACTGGTTTTCAACTGGTTAGTCAACTGGTACTCATCTACTAGTTTTCAACTGGGAAATCAACTGGTAATCATCTACTGGTTTCCAACTGGTAAATCAACTGGTAATCATATACTGGTTTTCAACTTGTAAATCAACTGGTAATCATCTACTGGTTTTCAACTGGTAAAGCAACTGGTAAATCAACTGGTAATCATCTACTGGTTTTCAACTGGTAATTCAACTGGTAAATCAACTGGTAATATCAACTGGTCTCAGATGTCAACTGGTATTTCTACTGGTTTCCAAATTGTATCAACTGGTATCAACTGGTACCAGTTGAGACCAGTTGAGACCAGTTTAAACCAGTAGATACCAGTTGAAAATCCTTACTGGTTTCAACTGGTATCAACTGGAATTTCGACCTGGGTAATACAGTCTGGAAATGCCGAAGAGCTTGGGTGTTAACAAGTAACATATGTTCGCTAATACATGACAGTAAGATATCGAGCTTAGATCTGAAAATGCTGCAAAGTGGTGGTGGGATTGCATGACATTGATACAGACAAAACGACGAGAAAAAAAAAATCAAAATCAACAGTGTTCAATGGCTACAAGTTATGCATACAAACCTCGTCTTGTATACTTCCGTAACCAGACGACTTAGACGACCCTCGGTCGGGTAGCTCGCTCATCTGAAAGAGTGAGAAAGGATTTAAGAGCATCTTTACAGCATGTGGTCCAAACATGACATGGTGAACCAAAAGAGGGTTGTTTTGGGTTTTGTTAATCCCCTAAGGGGATATTACAGGAATGGGAAATTTGTGCCATTGCGTTTTGATATGGAAACAGAGATTTTCTGTGCTCCCATTACCTCAACAATTAGTTTCAAGCGGTCATCTACTTTTGTGAGTAGCCGTATCAGGACAATAACCCCCTGGAAAATTCTCCCCTTAGGAAAATTACCCCCATCCCTCAAAATTACATTTGTGAAGGTATGGGGAAAGTGTTTTGGAATTATGAACCTTCAGAAGAATAAATCTTTGGAAACACAAGTAACCCCCATACGATCATTTATCTAAACATTGTGCCAGGTATCTATAATAATAACTATAATCATTGCAATGAAAAACCTTGCCTGTTTATATAGTAAAAGATCATGTTGGGTATAAACTTTGACCCAAAGTAAAAAATGGAATTGAAAGTCTCAAGCTCACAACCTTGGATGGGCCAGCCAGTTTTGTAGTTAAATCATCAGACCTCTCTCCTAATTTATGCTTCATCAACTGAATTTTTTTTAAAGCATATTTATATTAAAATGTAGCTTCCTTCCAACTTTATTGACAAGTAACAACAAGAGTTTAAGCATGTCAATGTCCCGGTACCCCCCCCCCCCCCACTCCGAGAACGGACGGACCCTATGCGTGTTACCAAAATGTCCTTTTCGTAACAAAAGAAAAAGGTCGACCCGTATTGACTTTACACACCGGACTTTTGCTGAAAGGGGGGGGGGGTGCTGAAAAAGGCTCGTATAACAAAAGAAAAAGGTCGACACGTATTGACTTTACACACCGGACTTTTGCTGAAAAGGGGGGGGGGGGTCGATTGGAACACGCATATGCGTACCCTAAATAACACTGAGTGGAGGGGCCGGGGTCAATGTCCATTGGTGGAGGTCAAAAATTAGCTTGTCATAATCTCAGAAAAGTACAGATAAAAAACGGAAGGCTAAGCATAAAATAAAGTTCATTGCGTCACAAATTATAATGTTCAGAACTTCAGGCACCTCCAAAGTCCATGAATTTAATTCGATTCGCACTACATGGTAATGGACATTTTCAGATGCCTTTCAAACTTGAAAAGTTGTATAATCACTCCTGGGTTACTTCTTTGACCCAAACCAAGAGAGTTGAGATAAAACAGTTGGTATTATCTGGTTCCATTCACATACCTTGGCCTGCTCTATAGGCTTCGTAGCTGGATCGTCAGCCATCTTTGATATCTACCAGATAACCTGCATGGAGGACAGAAATAGAATTAAGGTCGACAGATGCATTGTAGTGGTAAACTCTTGGACTATCGTTTATGGCAGCAAGAGCAGTTGTCAAGCAAGAAGATGCGGTGACTGTCTTAATGTTAATTATTTTTCCTGATTCGATTAGTGTGAAGAGAAATTCCACTTTAATTGGCATCAAGTTGACTGAAACAGAAGCATACAATGTATAACAAACAAGAGAAGCAGGTCAGTAACATCCAGTTTGAGGGGAAAAAATGATTTACTTATTAACAATGTTATGGGTTTCAAAGTTGCCATTGATCCATCACAAATTGGCAGCTCTATGCTGACATATACCCATTTAATTTGCGTTCTATATATCAGAAATTATTGTATGTTCATATTGATGTTATGTAAAGGCTTATCATCTCAGAATTGCAGTTTTCATGCAACTACTTTCTCTATCATAGTAAATTACATTATAGTTCTTGTGTAGGCCTACAGTCATGACTAGCAGGAATGAAACTTACACGTTAGGAGGTTATAAGCTGTTATAAGGTGTTTTTCTTAAAGATAAAGGTGAGTTCTGGTAATGCGATTGCATTGTGAAAGAAAAGGTGTGGAATGGATCAGAAAGAGTTGATCATGTAGCATGTAAGTATTGGTGTGCACTGCAAGGTTCTGGAGTCATCAAAATCATAATAAATTTGGCCGAGTCTTGGTAAAGTAACAAGCACTGTACACAGAAAGCTATATATGGGACAACACACATGGTGTCGGGGCTAGTACTACCTAGATTTCCTTGGCTTTCTATGCTCATTACTCAGCCATGTCATTTATTTGTAATCTTGAACATTCAGTGTAAGTTTCGTTTGATTCTGTGAGATTTTTTTTTAACCAGAACTGGAGTTTATCTTTAATAAGAAAAAGTATTCATTTACCCCTGTATTTTAAACTCGGCATGTGTGTAGAATGCACAGGCCTCTTATCCAAAGTTATAATCGGTAGAGGCACACGGCCGTCTTAGGAGACTTTCTCCCATTTGAGAGCACGTCTTTCACAATGAAGACTTACATGCAGGATACAAAAGAAAAAAAGAAACAACGTCAAGAACAAAGCCATTTTCCCTGCCAAATTTTGCGTGTGGATCATAGCAGAAAATATATTGTCATTTTGAGCTGAGGTATTTTGCAGCAAACTTATGTAAACAAAACAAATTGGTATCCCAAATGGTAAACACATTTCTTAAATTATGATTTCATACACCATTATGGATAGGATACCCAAAGCCGCATCACCATATAGGCACGATGCCCCAAATTTCCCAAGAACGAACTGCGTCCCTTTAAGCATATAATCGTGCTAGTTTTCAAAGCTATCCCTTCTTTATATAATAATTATGTATAACAAGTGTGCTATTTTTACACTAAATCATTTGCTCCTTTAAACTAACAAGACATAATTACTAATCTACTGCTACACGAAGCATTTTCAACCTTTCATCCTTTCAATTCTCATACCATGTTCAACATCATAGAATGCCAAAGTAATCGATTTCTCTTTGTTCAAGAATACATTGTATAAAGGTTTAGACAATGTAGAAGTTTTCAAACGAAAGGCAACTGCATTTACATAACCAAATGTCATTCGTGTTATAAAGACAGAGACATAATTATGTGCTACACGAATAAATGTTTTTATCACCTATCATCTCCCCCGAAACAAATTATGTCCCCCTAAGTGACTCGGTAACATTGTTGAGGTTGAGGAAAAAACTGTGTTGGTTTTCTTATACATTTATAGAAGAAACAAAATCGACCTGCAAAACAATCAGTTTTCTATGCCATTAATATGTTAAAAAAAAACATTGAAATGTAGATAATCAGAAATACATGTACACACGTTGCAGAAGAGAGAGAGAGAGAGGGGGAGAAATAAAGAGAGATAGAAAGCAGAGGGAGAAAGAGAAAGAGGGTGGGTGTACCTAATATATACTAAGCTATAAAGCCTCAGTGTATACAGACGAAAATAGAAAAAATATACTGCTTTACTCCGCTTCATTCACATCAGAAAATTATATCACATTCTTTTCTTCAAACTTATAAATAGATCCCCATACTATATAGTCCATCGACATACACTCGTTTCTTCTCTTTTACAATTTGATCTCACCTCTGTGTTTAAAATCCCAAATTGTTCATACCCCATCAAAGCTACATACAATATAATCTCACCCAAGCTAGACGTCAGCTGCTATTCTAACCTTCGTAATATAGATTCCAAAAAACGTTGACAACGTAGAGACTCCTTCGATAATGAAAACTTTGTTGGAAGAAGAAGAATTCATCAATATCTACTCCTAATTTGTGATTCAGACCAAGGAGGATAGCTGGTATCTCTTTGTTCAGACGCAATCAAAATGGCACCGAGTGGAATATCATCCAACGTCAAACTACTGCGTATTTACAGTTTCTATAGCAACTCCCATTACATTCAGGCACACAATGCAAACGAAATGGCAAGCAAGAAGAAAAGAATATGACAATTGATAGGCACCGTTGCACTTTGTAAATAAAATGATATGAATGCGAATAACAGCAGGCTTCTATTTGGGACCCTGGGGGCCGTTTCATGAACCCAGTCCATGACAGACATATCTTTGTCGGCGACCTACGAAGATGTCATGAAGTGGATAAACCGTTTCACAAAGCCATGACAGACATGATTTCGATATATCGCGATACTAGCAGCTCAAGAACATAGTCTTTGTCACGATCCATTTGTTTTATCACGAATAACCCAAAACAAGTTTTGGAGCTAAAATTGTTTAAAAAGAAACATATACATATAAACTCTCCTAAAATAAATAACAAATAGTGTCATTATCAAGTGAAGATCATCAAACGATTTGCATATTTCTGTAAAGATTCTTAAATTGAAGAAAAACCGGTGAGTGTTTTTTTCTCGACAATCCAATCAAACGGTAGTTGAAGGATACCGTAATGTGATATCAATACGTACTTTTTTTGTTTATTGTGACGAAGGATTTTAGGCAAAATACCTTTTCTCAGCCAGTTTTTATTCTAGAGTCTCATAAATACTCGTTATATAATTGATTTGATATTTACAATATAATTTAGAAGAAGTAATTAGAGAGGGAATAATAATGCACATATGCCCTAAAGGTATGATGGTATCCTAAGAACAGACTTTGGATCGACTATTGACAACGGTGTGTAACATTCTTATCTCTTTTATTTATATGTTATACACTGTTGCTCATAACGGTGGAATATTTTTTTTTATCCCAATTTATGGAATTATTTTAAAAATAATTTAAAAATACTAGATCTAGATAATAGTATACAGTCTCAGATTTTATTGAATAATAATTTGCCAATATGTGTTTTGCGTGACTGCTAAAGCATGTATATTATGCTACTATGTTTATCAACTAGGGGACCTATGCCCTTAAGTCATAAATGACAGTAATGAGGATTAATGCCTCACAAAAGGGCACTAATATAGCACATCGACACGGTGTTGATCCTGGGGCCTCACAGTTACGAGGCCATTGCTTTGTCACTGAACCGTGACTGTACGCAGCGGGGGCTATGGTAGGGGGCAGTTTCCATAAATTTAAAAAAAAAACAGAAAATGCAATACATTTTCAATAATTTATTGCATTCTACCCCGGTCC